AATTAAGTGTTCAACTCGTCAGTAGTCCCTGTCCTTTTGCGAACGTGTCTCCCATAACAACCTTCCAGAAAACTTCTCGATCACAAGCAAAGAGTTCCACATCCAATACACCCATCTGGAGATCATCCGCCACATCCTGCACTTATCTTTGGCTTTCCTCTTCCTCTCTTCCCAGGCATATACCACTTCATTATTGTCCTCTCTAAACTTTCGAGACATTTAAAGTGACGAAAATGTTTCAATTTTCTGCTTTATTTTCTTAATAGCCAACCTTCTTCAATATTTAGTTCATGAAGTATGGATGCATTTGTTCTTTTCTTAACACATGATATTCCTAGAACCTGTCTATAAAATTTGTATTCAAAGGCATTATGCGCTGTTCAGCTTGTTTAGTAAGTGTCCAGGTCTCATGCATATGTTGTAATGGGAAAGATGCATGCTCTTAGAAATATAACTTGTGTAGTTCTGTCTGTCCTGCTCCAAAATTTATTCCGTTGTTTTAGTCTTTGAAGAGCAATTGATAGTCACCGTTTCATTTCTTTCATTGTGTCACTATTGTTGGTAATCAATGACCCAAGATATTCAAAATTTTCCACAACCTCCAAAAGTGTCTAGTCATGGAAATACTTCGTACTAGCCCCCAAGTTAATAGTACTACTTAAGGAGTTGTATATGTATATGTGTGTGTGTGTGTGTGTGTGTGGTGATAATTTTACTGGAAAGAAAGATGACATATTCATAACAGAAACTATTTTTCACACTTTAAAAAATCTAAATAAATGAGCGAACGAATGAACAAAAAATACTAACTTTATTTTCAGAGGGTTGCGAACTGGTCAAGCAGGTCTGTCTTACATTCTGCCTTTTTCCTCATTCCTTTCATACTTTTTTCCAGTCATACATCAAATAGGTAGAAGAGGAATGACAAGTAAAAGCCTGGGGCTGTTTCCAGATCCTTGTCACGTAGAAGAGGAATGACAAGTAAAAGCCTGGGGTTGTTTCCAGATCCTTGTCATGTAGAAGAGGAATGACAAGGAAAAGCCTGGGGCTGTTTCCAGATCCTTGTCATGTAGAAGAGGAATGACAAGTGAAAGCATAGGATTGTTTCTGGATCCTTGTCATGTAGAAGAGGAATGACAAGGAAAAGCCTGGGGCTGTTTCCAGATCCTTGTTATGTAGAAGAGGAATGACAAGTAAAAGCCTGGGGTTGTTTCCAGATCCTTGTCATGTAGAAGAGGAATGACAAGTGAAAGCATGGGATTGTTTCTGGATCCTTGTCATGTAGAAGAGGAATGACAAGGAAAAGCCTGGGGCTGTTTCCAGATCCTTGTCATGTAGAAGAGGAATGACAAGGAAAAGCCTGGGGCTGTTTCCATATCCTTGTTATGTAGAAGAGGAATGACAAGTAAAAGCCTGGGGCTGTTTCCATATCCTTGTTATGTAGAAGAGGAATGACAAGTAAAAGCCTGGGGTTGTTTCCAGATCCTTGTCATGTAGAAGAGGAATGACAAGTAAAAGCCTGGGGTTGTTTCCAGATCCTTGTCATGTAGAAGAGGAATGACAAGTAAAAGCCTGGGGCTGTTTCCAGATCCTTGTCATGTAGAAGAGGAATGATAAGTAAAAGCCTGGGGTTGTTTCTGGATCCGTGTCATGTAGAAGAGGAATGACAAGTAAAAGCCTGGGGTTGTTTCCAGATCCTTGTCATTTTGTATTATTATAATGTATTAGAGAACTATGAAGCATGCATTGTTTTGCTTTCAGGATGAGCTATGAAGATTTTATCTACAACTTTCATGAAATACAACTTTGTCATCTTCAGCCAGATGCACTCATTTCAGAACTTGCAGACAATGATGTGAGTTTATGATACTGTTTGCTTGCATTGTTCAGTTAACTTTATATAGGTAATTATGTTCACTAATGTCACAGTAGCCGCTTTTTAAAATGTAATTTCAGTTATAACATATGCTAGTGAACGTTCGAGAACCACTAAAAACATGGAACGACAGTTAAATGCATTTGAAAAAAACAAAATAGTCTGAGGAAACTTTAGGACCCAAAATGTGATGACATTTTGAGGGAATAACATATATATATATACAATATATACAACAATAATCATATAACAATGGTCTCTCACAGAATATGGTATCCAGATATTTGTACAGCAACAATGATTGCCTGTTTTTCTATTTCAGAGAAAACAAATGTGGAATGTAACAGTCTACCATGATGCTTGGATTCGAGGGGTCACGGCTGGTGGTTGTGGGAATTCCCCTAATGAAAGTAAGTGCTTTTATGTCAGCAATATAGTAAGATTATAAATGTCAGTAAAATCATGTAATATACCCTCTAACGGTACTTATGGTAATACTGTGATCTCTTTTCGTTTATATTCTGGCAAAGACTATAAATAAAACTCAAATTATAAATTGCCTGCATTTTGCTTTGATTAATAAGAGAAGCAAACAAATTGCTTTTGCTGGGTGTGAAGAAATAGAAGAGGTGTCTTCAGGTTTGATTAAATCTCTGTCTTAAATGTGTGTTGTATTTTAGACACTTCATTACGGTCCGATATGTTTGTTACTGATGTTGTGTTTGTTATTCGACCTATGCTTCGTTAATAAAAATTTCTGTAACCTATGGTGCCATTTCAATGGCTTGAGATGAATTATGTCCAAATTCCATAGTTGCGGATTTCAAGCTGTATGATAACTTGGTGAAATAAGAAATCTTTATAGCATGCCTAGTTGGTCATGTTCTTAGTATACTTGTTTCCATAGTGAGGCACACACACACCATTTGGGGGTGACAGGTTCGATTCCTGGCACAGTACCTATAGCTTTTGATTTTTATGTTGTCTATTGTGTCCTTTCATCTTTATACTTCTTTATACTTATGGATCTATTCTTGTTTTCCCTATAACAGGGCCCCGGAACCCACACAGGGAGTTTAATTAACTGTATGACTGGTTTAGTTCCTAGTCTTCTTCTAATCTCTTCACCTTAAACTGTATTTTCTTCTAACCCCAGAAGATCTAAAATATCTCATCTTTGTTGTTATAATTTATTAGCTGTACCAATATTACATAAAAAATGTAATGATTAATTTTTATTGTTGAATGATGCAGATTTATACTGGAAGAATCCCCAGTTTTATGTCACTCTGGACACACCAGATATAACCTTGGGTCATGGTGACGACTGCACGCTGATTGTTTCACTGATGGAAAAAGAAAAGGATAACCAATCTCGGATTGCTGTTGGCTTTGATGTCTACAAGGTAGTTTTACACTCTTTTCTTCTTCGACCTCTGTAGAGTAAAGACTCTCATCAAACTCATGCAGTCGTTCTGTCTTTAACTTACGCTGCAGAATCCTCCATGTCTTTGTCAAACTGCTCAACCTCATCTGTAACCATTGTCTCTACGTGATGCCAGTCTTGAAACACGAGAGAAATGGTGGATTAATTCATGAGGTGATGTGCAGGAGATTGAGGTATAAATGTTGAGCATTTAAAGCTGGTTGTTGTTACCTTATAGATTCAGGAATATTTTTGTTAATAATAACTAAATACTTATATTAATTATTACCTCTTTTGTAGCGTTCACCAGCTGCTAACTCTAGCAGAAAGCTCTGGTTGTTTGTCACTTCTCGAACTTGGTCTTCTTTCAGACTTAAATTTTGCATTCACTTCTGTTTTACATATTTGACTTACTTGCATGCAGACTGTTAGTTCCTTGCTTCTCAGGCAGTGAGTCTCTTTTTCTCCCAAAATGAGACCCTGGAGCTCTCACACCAGTACAATTTTTTTTAAGAAATTGGTTTGACTGCATAATTTAAACAATTGAATTGGGTAAGCGATAATCATAAGAGAATTGATTTGTTGAAACAGTGAAAAGGTAAAGTAATCGAGTTGATGTGAGGCTAAGTCCACTTTTCTGTACCTGTAATTAGATTTATTATTTCATTGTTATTTACTGTAACAAAGCTGAATGCCTGTTATTTTCTGGATGTTTAAACCAGCCCCATCATTTGTTGGCCAGATATTTGTGGTTTCACTAGGAGATTTTACATTCAGTTTGCCATTGCCCTTGAACAGCTGGCACTCTATGCCATTATTTAAATCAATGTTGCGTGGTCCACTGCCACAATCATGATTAGAGGAATATTATTTATTATAACTTTCTTTTAAAATTAAGCAGAAATAGAGTATACTAATTGTTTCATTTGAGGCCATAGAAGTGCAGTGGCTGGATGCTCAGCTGTCAGCCTGAAGGTCATGGGATTAAATTTACATCGAATGGATTTGGAAACACTGCATAGTCTCGAGGCATGGTGTTTGCCTCGAGTGCTAGAGGTCCCGGGTTCAAGCCCTTGTGATGGCTAGGATTTTTTCACGTGGACTTCTAGTAATTTTCCCTGGTCTCTGGGTAGTAAGACCGGACTCCCTTGTGTATTGTTGTGCACGTAAAAAATCCCTTGACAGTTGGAAATTGTCAAGAGCAGCCTAATGGCGCTGCCTGGGCAAAATATGGAGTTAAAAATCTACCCAAAGTATTTCAGGATCTTCACCGTCGCAACAGAGTTCATGCCCTGCGCTGAGAGTTTTCATACTCAAGCTTTAGTTAAAAGAAGAATGGAGCACTTATGGGTTACACCCGTGTTCCATGATATTGATCCGTTGTTTAAACATTGACGTAGAAAAACTTATTTTGATACCTAGGTCTTAGAGAGAGAGCGATATCTTAGTAATTGTAAACTTCAAACTGTTTGCAGCTAAAGAGTCCTGAACTCCGACCCTTGGATAACTCAAGGGCACCAAGAAATGCCTTACTGCTGACGCGTCGTTCAGGGTCATATGTGTTTTATAGAGAGGTCACCAAGCGGTTTGAGCTGAAACCTGGGACATACGTAATCATTCCAAGTACTTTCAACCCACATGAAGAAGCCGAGTTTATGCTGAGGTTGTTCACGGAAAAACGAGCTGACAGTGGGTGAGATCAATGTTGATTGGTTTTTGAGCTGCATGACTGAGTCAGACAAGATACATGTTGATTGGTTTTTGAGCTGCATGACTGAGTCAGACAAGATACATGTTGATTGGTTTTTGAGCTGCATGACTGAGTCAGACAAGATACATGTGTGGTCTTAGTCGGATGTTTGGCTACAAGGAATGGTTACGTATTTCTCTCAACTTGGATCTGCAAAGTTTGGTACTGTTTTCATTTGTTTCCGTCTTGTTCTATCCTCATGTTTATTCTTTAGCCTTGTATCTTCATCTAAACTCATTAGCTCAACTAGATGATCAGGGGAAGATTTTGTACCTTTGCTCGATTCCCAAAAAAATATAGCAATTATTAATGTACATAAAATCATGTTTAATTTTGAAACAACTTATTCCTTTTGTGGGGAAGAAAAGAGTATTTGTTGAGTAGTACCAGCATCTGTTGTATCTAACAATAAAACAGTAAAAACACGTTGTCAGTAATGGGTGTGACCACTGTCTGCAGTGATGCAAGCCTGACAACTTCATTTCATAAAACCTACAAGACAAGTGGAGAAAGCTTGGAAAATGTTTTGCACTCTTGCTGAAGAAATGACATGAGTCCTTGCATCGTTGTGGACATGTAAAGAAGGCTGGTGACTTTCTGTTGCACTTCTTTCCAAGCAAGCTCAGTTGGTGTCATATAATATAAAATGGCAGGCCGTGGAAATGACTTAATCTGGGCAAGCAGAAATTCTGCATTTACAGCATTGGCTACATGAGGATGAGCATTGTTGTGCCAAAGAATGATTCCAGATTGATCCACATACAGAAAAGGCTTGAAATGCTGCCACATGGGTTTTTTTTTCTTCAGAGAGTAGGCCATGAACAACTACAAGTTGCATCTGATGACACCTGACACATGAAAAAGGTGATTTGAGTCAAATGGATTTAACGCCATAATCTTGATAGTTTTTGAATCCAATAAAGATAAGCCAAGGATCCTATTATTGATCATGTGGTTCTGAAGAAATAATGGTTTCTGACAGTGTTTCTTGATTTATGAAATATTTTAAATCAAACTGTGATCAGTTACTTTTCCTGCTGAGCATACATGGACTCGGTTCTGAGTTGTGTTCTTAGTGTTATTGAGGGATGCAGTTCTGTGTTGTGTTCTTAAGAGACTAGGTTCTATGTTCTGTTCTTGAGGGACTCGGTTCTGTGTTGTGTTCTTAAGAGACTAGGTTCTGTGTTGTGTTCTTGAGGGACTAAGTTCTATGTTGTGTTCTTAGTGTTCTTCAGGGACTCAGTTCTGTGTTGTGTTCTTAAGAGACTAGGTTCTGTGTTGTGTTCTTGAGGGACTCGATTCTGTGTTGTGTTCTTAGTGTTCTTCAGGGACTCGGTTCTGTGTTGTGTTCTTGAGAGACTAGGTTCTGTGTTGTGTTCTTGAGGGACTCGATTCTGTGTTGTGTTCTTAGTGTTCTTCAGGGACTCGGTTCTGTGTTGTGTTCTTGAGAGACTAGGTTCTGTGTTGTGTTCTTGAGGGACTCGGTTCTGTGTTGTGTTCTTAGTGTTCTTCAGGGACTCAGTTCTGTGTTGTGTTCTTCAGGGACTCAGTTCTGTGTTGTGTTCTTAGTGTTCTTCAGGGACTCAGTTCTGTGTTGTGTTCTTAGTGTTCTTCAGGGACTCAGTTCTGTGTTGTGTTCTTAGTGTTCTTCAGGGACTCAGTTCTGTGTTGTGTTCTTCAGGGACTCAGTTCTGTGTTGTGTTCTTCAGGGACTCAGTTCTGTGTTGTGTTCTTCAGGGACTCAGTTCTGTGTTGTGTTCTTCAGGGACTCAGTTCTGTGTTGTGTTCTTAGTGTTCTTCAGGGACTCAGTTCTGTGTTGTGTTCTTCAGGGACTCAGTTCTGTGTTGTGTTCTTAGTGTTCTTCAGGGACTCAGTTCTGTGTTGTGTTCTTAGTGTTCTTCAGGGACTCAGTTCTGTGTTGTGTTCTTCAGGGACTCAGTTCTGTGTTGTGTTCTTAGTGTTCTTCAGGGACTCAGTTCTGTGTTGTGTTCTTCAGGGACTCAGTTCTGTGTTGTGTTCTTAGTGTTCTTCAGGGACTCAGTTCTGTGTTGTGTTCTTAGTGTTCTTCAGGGACTCAGTTCTGTGTTGTGTTCTTAGTGTTCTTCAGGGACTCAGTTCTGTGTTGTGTTCTTAGTGTTCTTCAGGGACTCAGTTCTGTGTTGTGTTCTTAGTGTTCTTCAGGAACTCGGTTCTATGTTGTGTTCTTAGTGTTCTTCAGGGACTCGGTTCTGTGTTGTGTTCTTCAGGGACTCAGTTCTGTGTTGTGTTCTTCAGGGACTCAGTTCTATGTTGTGTTCTTAGTGTTCTTGAGGGACTCGGTTCTGTGTTGTGTTCTTCAGGGACTCAGTTCTGTGTTGTGTTCTTCAGGGACTCAGTTCTATGTTGTGTTCTTAGTGTTCTTCTGGGACTCAGTTCTGTGTTGTGTTCTTAGTGTTCTTCAGGGACTCAGTTCTATGTTGTGTTCTTAGTGTTCTTGAGGGACTCAGTTCTGTGTTGTGTTCTTAGTGTTCTTCAGGGACTCAGTTCTGTGTTGTGTTCTTCAGGGACTCAGTTCTATGTTGTGTTCTTAGTGTTCTTCAGGGACTCAGTTCTGTGTTGTGTTCTTCATGGACTCAGTTCTATGTTGTGTTCTTCAGGGACTCAGTTCTATGTTGTGTTCTTAGTGTTCTTGAGGGACTCGGTTCTGTGTTGTGTTCTTCAGGGACTCAGTTCTGTGTTGTGTTCTTCAGGGACTCAGTTCTATGTTGTGTTCTTAGTGTTCTTCAGGGACTCAGTTCTGTGTTGTGTTCTTGAGAGATTAGGTTCTGTGTTGTGTTCTTGAGGGACTCGGTTCTGTGTTGTGTTCTTAGTGTTCTTCAGGGACTCAGTTCTGTGTTGTGTTCTTAGTGTTCTTCAGGGACTCAGTTCTATGTTGTGTTCTTAGTGTTCTTGAGGGACTCGGTTCTGTGTTGTGTTCTTAGTGTTCTTGAGGGACGGTAACCTCGTTCAACTTCCTATAATCGACACACAGTCGTAAGTTACCATCTTTCTTTTTGACTATCACCATGGGTGAACTATATTCAGAGTTTGAATCAGTGATTATACCATCTTCTTGGAGTTGTTTTAACTCTTCAACAACTTTATCCATATAGTGGATTGGTATGGTATAATTTCTTGACTTCACAGGAACAGCTGAGTTCAACTGGATGTCGTACTCTATCAAATTAGTTTTCCCAGGTTTACTCCCAAAAATCTCTCTGTATTTATTAATCAATTTTAAAATGCTGTTCTTATCTTTTTGTGAAAGGGTTTCATTTATTTTGACTGACTTCCAGTTGATCTCATCTGATTTGGCAGGTGTTGGAATTTCTTCCTCCACTGCATCTGTAGCTGTTTCATCAATCACATTACATGAATTTGCATTTGCAATCTCAGCTCTTCTGAAATACTTCTTAAGCATGTTAATATGAAAAATTTTCAGATTGTTTTTGTACAGTATTTCGTAATCTACATCAGACACTTTTCTAACTACCCTATATGGCCCTTGCCATTCGACACACAGCTTGTCAGATTTTTTGGGTAATAGCACCAGGACATCATCGTTCGGTTCGAGCTCAATGAGCTTGCTCACTCTGTTGGCATAATATCTTTGTTTTACGGTTGCCTGGGCTTTGGACCTAGTCGCCTCTTCACATGCGGTCATGATTTTATGTCTTAAATTCACAACAGCTTGGTAATCATTAACTTTGGGATCTTTTTCATCTTTTCCAGTAATTAAGTTTTTGTATACTTCTAGAGGGCCTCTAGGGTTGGCTCCGTACACGAGCTGGAATGGTGACACACCTGTTGAACTGTGTGGTATTTCCCTGTAGGCAAATAACACCGCTGGTAAAAGACTGTCCCAGTTTATGGGGTTGTTATATGTTATCCTTGATAACATAGTCTTTACCGATTTGTTTAAATTTTCCACTAACCCATTTGCTTGGGCGTGGTATGGAGTGGTGAACTGTTGTTTAATACCTAACAGATTTGTGACTGCTTTTGTTATCACTGCCGTAAACTGGGTACCTCGATCTGATATTATGATCTCAGGAAATCCCAACCTTGAAAAAATCAATATCAATGCCTCATGTATGTGCTCTGCAGTAATATACTTAAGAGGGACTGCTTCCGGCCATTTTGTAGCCACATCTATCAAAGTGAGTATAAACCTATTACCTTTTGCAGAAGTGACAGGTAGCGGACCTATTATATCTATGGCTACCTGTTCAAACGGTCTTTGTGCAGTGAGCCCTGGTTGAACAGGAGCTGTAGGATTTACCTCTTTCTTGGTCGTTCTAGCACATATATCACAGGACTTCACATACCGTTTGACTGTGCTGGTGACCCCTGGCCAAAAAAATGTTGATAACACTCTTAGTGTTCTTCAGGGACTCGGTTCTATGTTGTGTTCTTAGTGTTCTTGAGGGACTCGGTTCTGTGTTGTGTTCTTAGTGTTCTTGAGGGACTCGGTTCTGTGTTGTGTTCTTCAGGGACTCAGTTCTATGTTGTGTTCTTCAGGGACTCAGTTCTGTGTTGTGTTCTTCAGGGACTCAGTTCTATGTCGTGTTCTTAGTGTTCTTCAGGGACTCAGTTCTGTGTTGTGTTCTACAGGGACTCAATTCTGTGTTGTGTTCTTCAGGGACTCAGTTCTGTGTTGTGTTCTTAGTGTTCTTCAGGGACTCAGTTCTGTGTTGTGTTCTTCAGGGACTCGGTTCTGTGTTGTGTTCTTAGTGTTCTTCAGGGACTCAGTTCTGTGTTGTGTTCTTAGTGTTCTTGAGGGACTCGGTTCTGTGTTGTGTTCTTAGTGTTCTTCAGGGACTCAGTTCTGTGTTGTGTTGTTAGTGTTCTTGAGGGACTCAGTTCTGTGTTGTGTTCTTAGTGTTCTTCAGGGACTCAGTTCTGTGTTGTGTTCTTAGTTTTCTTCAGGGACTCGGTTCTATGTTGTGTTCTTAGTGTTCTTGAGGAACTCAGTTTTATGTTGTGTTCTTAGTGTTCTTCAGGGACTCAGTTCTGTGTTGTGTTCTTGAGAGACTAGGTTCTGTGTTGTGTTCTTAGTGTTCTTCAGGGACTCAGTTCTGTGTTGTGTTCTTCAGGGACTCAGTTCTGTGTTGTGTTCTTAGTGTTCTTCAGGGACTCAGTTCTGTGTTGTGTTCTTGAGAGACTAGGTTCTGTGTTGTGTTCTTAGTGTTCTTCAGGGACTCAGTTCTGTGTTGTGTTGTTAGTGTTCTTGAGGGACTCAGTTCTGTGTTGTGTTGTTAGTGTTCTTGAGGGACTCAGTTCTGTGTTGTGTTGTTAGTGTTCTTGAGGGACTCAGTTCTGTGTTGTGTTGTTAGTGTTCTTCAGGGACTCAGTTCTGTGTTGTGTTGTTAGTGTTCTTCAGGGACTCAGTTCTGTGTTGTGTTGTTAGTGTTCTTGAGGGACTTGGTTCTATGTTGTTTTCTTAGTAATCTTGAGGGTCTTCTTGGTGTTACATCTTTTCCTTGCACTGTGACCGCCTTATTTTTGTATTTTAATCAGGATTTATTGAGGAAGGGGAGGAAGGCAGTGGCTTAGTGATATGATGCCTGCTTCTAACTGAAACAGACGGGGCACAATTTAGGGTGTGCACTGTAAGGGTAGTTACCGCACAAGGAAAAACACCCTCTGACCCCCAGGTAGTGAGTCAGTCATGCAGCTAGTCTTCATGGACCAAGGCAAACAAAATGGAAGGCCAGTGAATCTGCTGTGCATTTCAACAATTCCTTGGCAGTTTGAAATAACAAACAGCAGGTTGATAGGCAGCTTTTATGGCCTAATTTAAAAACTTAAAAATACTGTTTATTACCGTATGATTCTGGTGGATATCCAAAACTGATTCTCTGCCAATGTCACAACAGTGTTTGTGCACTGGGTTAAGTTTCCTTTTTATGTGTAATCTATGTCAGCCGCTGTGAAAGTGGACCTCTAGAAAATGAAATAAAACAGAATTTATTTTGTTCTACATCATGAATTTGTTACAGTTAGTTTGGCTTTATGAATTCTAATTAACGGACAAAATGAAAAGACAGTAAATATAGTACTATGGTTGGAAAGTTGAACTCAACATCAAATCAGTACTACTAAATGGATAAACATGGAGAATGGCTAAAGCTTTTATTGACAAACAACCAGCATTCATTAAATGCTGTCTCTGAGGAATAACAGGGTTAAATGGTAGGACAGAATTGCCATTGTGGAGCTCAGAGAGAGAGCTGAACAAATCACAGTGAATCAAGACATGAGGTGAAAAGAAAAATGCTGATCTCTGTTAAAACACCAGTTTAGAAAACCTGCTTACAGTATAACTAATAAATAAAGCTTTCCTGGAAATCATAAAGCAAAAAAAAATATAGAGGGGAACAGAAGGAGCATGGAATTAAAGACTGGGATTAGTAATAACATTAACAGGATATAGAAGGGGATAGCAAGGGATACAGACAGGGGATAGCAAGGAATAAGACTAGGTATAGCAAGGAATAAGACTAGGTATAAAAAGGAATAAGGCAGGGGATAGTAAGGGATAAGACATTTTATAGCAAGGGATAAGACAGGGGATAGTAAGGGAAAAGGTAGAGGATAGCAAGGGATAAGGCAGGGGATAGCAAGGGATGAAGTCTTGGATAGCAAAGATAAGACAGGCAATAGCAGGGGATAAGACAGAGATAGCAAGGGGTAAGACAAGTGATAGCAAGAGATAAGCCAGGGGATAGTAAGGGAGACAGGGTATAGCAAGGAATAAGACAGGATATAGCAAGGAATATGATAGGGGATAGCAAGGGATAAGGCAGATGATAGCAAGGGATAGAGGTGAGTGACCGTGAGCTTATTCAGGGCTTCTGATGCACCAGTGAAGATAAAGGATGCTATAAGAGAAAGATGATTTCATGTTTAATTAATTTTTTTTTTTTTGCTTCCACACTTAAATGAATATTTGTTCACTGGCTGTGTGCATGGCAATTGAATGTAAAATATAAACACCTTGTTATTAATTTTTACATTCATTTGTTTCTTTCACAGGGTCCTTGATGAGAAAGTCGAATTAGCACCTGTAAGCATGAATATGAGTCTTCTTTGTTGCTTGTTTATCATGCTGTTTGTATTCGTTTCCCAAAATATTCTCATTCAAGTTTAGTAACAGTAAATACGTAAACAACACACGAAAGAATCACATGGCTTTCTTTTTGAATTATATAGACACAGTAAACAAACAATGTATTGATCGGCTCACAGTTGGTAGTTTTTGAATTATATAGACACAGTAAACAAACAATGTATTGATCGGCTCACAGTTGATAGTTTTTGAATTATATAGACACAGTAAACAAACAATGTATTGATCGGCTCACAGTTGGTAGTTTTTGAATTATATAGACACAGTAAACAAACAATGTATTGATCGGCTCATAGTTGATAGTTTTTGAATTATATAGACACAGTAAACAAACAATGTATTGATCGGCTCATAGTTGATAGTTTTTGAATTATATAGACACAGTAAACAAACAATGTATTGATCGGCTCATAGTTGATAGTTTTTGAATTATATAGACACAGTAAACAAACAATGTATTGATCGGCTCATAGTTGGTAGTTTTTGAATTATATAGACACAATATACAAACATTGTATTGATCGGCTCATAGTTGGTAGTTTTTGAATTATATAGACACAGTAAACAAACAATGTATTGATCGGCTCATAGTTGGTAGTTTTTGAATTATATAGACACAATATACAAACAATGTATTGATCGGCTCATAGTTGGTAGTTTTTGAATTATATAGACACAGTAAACAAACAATGTATTGATCGGCTCATAGTTGGTAGTTTTTGAATTATATAGACACAATAAACAAACAATATATTGATCGGCTCATAGTTGGTAGTTTTTGAATTTTAGGCATGCTTTATATTATTTTAAAAACTATTCGGTTCTGAATGTGAAGTTATGTCATCGGTCTGATGAACCACCTAACCATTCTGTGGAGAGAGACTGAGCCATCTGAAATAAAACACAGTGCAATAAAGTCAATAATCTTAACTCTAACTACTTACTTACTTTACGTTTACTAGTGCAGGTTTGACAGCTAGTGTTGGAAGATCTTTGTCAAATCTGTTTGTCTAATTTGTTCTCATTATACAGTGTACACATCTAATTTGTTCTCATTATACAGTGTACACATCTAATTTGTTCTCATTATACAGTGTACACATAATGAGATCTGTAGAAAATATGTCAGTGGTGGCCATTGGTAATCATAACAGAAATAATGTAATGCTGATGACTCCATCTTAACAACGTTAGCCACAAGGAATTACAGACAGTTATAAATGCTGTGATTATACAAAGCTAAAATAATGGACTTAGTTTACATAATCAGAGAATAGAAGTTATTATGTTATACAAGGAGCAGGTTTGATCTCTTTGTAAGGCTCAGGTCAGAATAGTGAGGATTTTTTGCTCTGGGTATGCTGATGTGTAAGTCAATGAGCAGTCTGACAGACTGGCTGCTGCTGCTGCAGACTGGATGGCAAACTACTTTATAAGGTGGATATTGTGACAGCTTATTGAGATCAAGGGAATATTTTAATAGAACAGAGCATTCGTACTAAGCATGACTGATAACCACTCAATATGCAGGTGAAAAGCAGACTTTTATTGATTTGTACTAACCTTGTCAACATAGGTACTCTGTACTGGCTGCTGAAGAGGGGGATGAAGCTTGAGTGGTTATGTCCTGAGAGCAATGAATCTGATTCTTGAATCATCAATCATTCATTTATTCTACTGCACAATCACTCTCAACTGTTAATGATTGATCCACAAATAAACTCTGATATTAACCCAATTACTTCCTTGTGTGGGTTCCGGGGCCCCATTGTGGGGAAAACTAGAATAGACCCACTGCCTCCCCAAAAGCATGCCGTAAGATTCGACTAATTTGGGAGTTTCTTTTGAAGTCGGAGCGCATCTGCTGGAGAGGCAAGGAACCAACAGTCTGTATTCAAGAGAATGAGATCTGTAAAACTGATGCACACGCAACACTCAGGTTCTGGAGCAGGACTGCAGTTCAGTAGTGGACGAGCAACCAGAACTTTCCGCCAGAGTGTACAGCTGGTGAACGCGAAGAAGAAAAAGAACCCAATTACTGTTAGAGAAACTTTGTAATATGCACAAGAATATTGCCGCTGATTGATATTTTTCACATTCCTGTTATTCCCATTTCAGAGAATGTCGTCTACTAATGATGTGGTATCCAAGGCGTTTGATAGACACGCAGGAACAGACAAGAGATTAGATGCTTATGAACTCAGCACATTCCTGGAGGATATCTCCTCTAGTGGTAGGTTTCCATATCACCAGTTAGATCTTTGGTAACATAGCCTCTAGGTGTTTGTGTGAGCTAATACTTGGATGTTTGTTTGTTAATTCCGTTAATAACAGTTTTAACTTCTTGGCAAATGGGTCACTCTATAGTTGTTCTGTTCCTGAGCCAGCAAAACCACAGAATATCAAATGACTGTCCTTTATCAAGAGAAACTGAAATGGAGTAGAGTCTAGACAAAGCCATTGACATTCACATGCATTAAATGCACGAGTCAGATGTGGCTACGACAAACACTTCACCCTTAGAATTGTAGTTTGTCATCGATGGAAGCAGTAATTACAACAAATTGGCACTTGCAGACACAAAATCATGTAAGGCACCACCTTTTCTGTGACAACAAAAGCATGTAGACACAGCCATGTGATAGCCATTTATCAGAATAAACTTTTAGTCAACATATGGGGGTGGGGAAGTGGGGGGTGGGGGAGTGGAGGGGGGGATGCAGCAGCCAACAGTATCTAGAAAAGAAAATAACTTGTCAACACTAATACGGTTGGTATGTCTGTCCACCATATTGGACCAAAATTAACGAAATTATAAAGAAAATATTAAGAAATTATAAACAGTAAACAATGCAATAAATAGTTTATAATAGTTACCATCCATAATTGTTGGCCTCTCTTACTTGTCCTATAAACTGGTTTTCTGGCCTTCCTGATCTGCGCTTTTGAGAATAATTCTCTTCAACATTGCTCAATTGAACAGTTAATTGTAATAAGTATTTTTATGTTTTGTTATGGCAGTGTATATGATTTAAAAGTTGCACATTGTATGTTGGGGAGCATGACAAAATGAAGGAGGATTTAAGAATGTCAAGAACAAGCATGAAGTTGGTAATTAAATAACATGCATCATGCCACAATCATCATCATCATCATCATCATAGGCAATATTGACTTTTTCTGTTGAATGTCATGGGGAGGAACAAATTGCAATCCATTGCTTGATGAGCAGCCCTGGCTATTGTCGTTCTGTGCTGATGTAGAATATATCTAACATGTCATCATTCGCTCTTCTCCTTGGGTGCCCTCTTGCTTTCATGCTAGATCTGCTCAACTGTAGCACCTGTGTTGTTAGCTGGAGCTGCATTCTAATGAGGTGATGAAACCATTTGATCTTCTGCTTCTGAATGAATTTGGTACAGTTTTGTTCCCACATACTGTATGATAGTATCATTTCTCACTTTGTCTCAGATGGTTAAGCTTGCGGCTTTCCTCAGGCATATCATTTCACAGGTGTTAATTTGATGCATGTTAGCCTTTGAAAGTGTTCAAGTCTGGCACTGGTAGCATTTTGCAGGTATAAATGTACTGTGTATAATTTGTTTCTTATGTTTGGATGTCCTAATGATGGCATCAATAGTGTATAAGTGCACTGGCTCTTTAACATCTTGTTTCTGTTTCCTAGTCTATTCTGCAGCCCTTTGAAAATATACTTCCTAAATATTACATTTTTTTGCCTTACTTCAGACAAGTACCATTTAATCTATATGCAGCAGACTAGGAATTATGCTGACCTGCATAAGTTCAGTTTTAGTCTTATTTATTTTCATGTAAGATCTGCTGCCTGTTGAATTTAGTCTGTTTAAATGCTCTTATACTCTAACCCCCTTACTGTGGAACAGACATTCATAGCTTGTTTATCGTGTGTGCATGTTATTCTTTATCTTGAATGTAAAGTTTCTTATTTTCTATGTTTACTGCTTTAAAATTTGATTCTTTAGATATTCTGTCAGTGTAGATGTTAAATATCATATCATGCCACAATAAATGTGAAAGGCTACTAACTCACTTTAACTGACACATTTTATTGAGATGGAATCACTTGCTCTTTTTATTACAGTTTTAGTGACAAGTGTGCATGTCTGGAGTGGCGTCTGTGGCTTAGGCGTTGCGAGTCCGACTAGTAATCCAACGTACCGTGATTGAAACCCACTGCTGGCCGCGTGGATTTGTATCATGGTAATGGGCATCGAAGGTCGACCCAGCCTAACATGGGTACCAGGATGGCTGTCCTGGGGAAGTAAAGATGGCCGGCGTAATGCTGACCACATTACCCATCCAGTGCCGATTGGTCTGGAAAAATATGGGGCGCTCTTCACATATGCCCGATGCGCCTAAGGCGTGAAAAGGGATCTTGTCTTGTCTTGTGCATGTCTGAAGATAACATTAGATCATAACATGGATTTGAACTGCTTGGGCTTTGCAATGTTGATGACCAGTTGAAAACTTATCTTTCAATGATGCATACATTTTTAAAAAAAAGTTTGTTTTGTATTCTTTGCAGGACCATTTCCAGCTTTCTTGGCTGATTGTGATTTCACTAAGCAATTTCACAGATATTTTGTTTGCTATTTCTTTCTGAACGGTTGACTGGCAATACCATTGTCAAAACCAACACAAAGTGCTCTTATGCCATTTTGCTTGCAGCTGGAATGTAACCAGGCACCTCAGAATTATGAAATTCGTCTACAGCGCCTAAGCCACTGACACCGATGATGTTTATATTACTGCCCTCCCCCCCCACCCAAAAAAAGTCCAGCTTATTCAATCTCTAGAAAGTTGAATTATTGTAACTGTGTGATCTCCCTTTTGGAATACAGGGATGTCATGGAAGTTGCATATTTAATGTTGCTCTTAAATTACTGATAAAGAAATTGAAAGAATGGAGCTAGTAATTGCGCATACAAATAAAAATATTTGGTTTTTTTTTGGGGTAGGTTTAAGCCAAATTTACAATATTTTTGCATGTTTTGCCAGGTGCTAAATAGTGCAGGTTTGTTGTGCCTTCTTTCTGAATTTCATAACAGGAAACTATTATTTATTAAAAAAATTTTTAATGAGATATTGTTGAATTTTTAGAAAATATTTATGCTGCTTGTGTGTTTCAGAGTTAGGTGAACCCCTGAAGTTTCCAACAGAATCTTGCCGTAGCCTCGTGACATTGTTGGATGTATCCTTAACATTGTGTGTTGTGTGGACAATATTGTTTGACACCTAACTCTGTTGTCAGATCTACACACTGCATGTCTGTGTAATGAGTCTCATCTAACAGAAAATATCACTTGAAATTGTAGCGCTCCTAATCTGAGTTATTTTTTCTTTGGCTGTTAATGTTTTATTTTATTAACTTTTATGAATAAGTTTATTAATTGTAAAATAACTGTTAATGAAGTTAAATAATGTTGATAAAGGATCAAAGATGCAGCAAAAATTTAGAACCACGTGACTACTTGCATAACAGACCAGTATCATACTCCTGCCCTGTCACCATCCAGCAATTAGCCCACAAACCGAAATATGACCAAGCAATTAAGGATCAAAGAGGGAAGGAAAAGCTAATTGTAAAAATTCCAATGTTGAAGTTGCATGTATCAATTCTCATCATCATCATTATGTAGCAGGTCCTTTGCAGAATGACACAAGAAAGTCTGTTTCTTGCCGGAAAGAGACTTGGTTTCTTACTACATCTCACACGTTTTGCACTTTCCTACCCAAGGTGCCACTTACATCCTGTGCCCCCCTGTCTTTATGCTGTCTGGCCTCTGCGCCTCTTTCCTGGCACCATACCTTCTGCTACTATTCTTTCTAAGCTGCCTTGGTGCTGGATATGGCCAACCTATTTCAGTTTCTGAGACAAGATGCTGTTTACCAGCGAATCTACCATGAGACTCAGATCTTTTAGGTGTTGTCAATATTTCTTTCTTGGTCCATGGTACTGTGAAAATCTTTCTATAGCATTATTAGTTCAATAGCCCCTGTTTTTTCCTTACTGGCATATAGATCATAGCACATACAAATTACATCTTGGCATGAAATGGATGCCTGACTGCCAAATTATTTTAGCGAATGAAAATTGTTTACATAGAAAATAAATTTTTTCTTATTCATTGTCCACATATAACATATCACCTCTCAATAGAGCAAAGATATTCAACAACTCATGACAAAACCTGTGTAGGCTTGATCATGTTTGTTTAAATTTCACAGTAATTCCTAATCTCACTTATTTTTTTAATTATTAGAAGTGTTTCTGTTTTATTTATTTTTCTGTGATACTGTAATCTTCTTTCACACAACAGCAAAATAAAGAAAGCTAACTATTGCGTGCACTTGCTCATAAGGATATTGAATAAGAATATAACACATGCATGTTGACTGTTTGTGTTTAACTATAACAATTAACACCTTAACTGTCATAAAGGAAGACAAGTCTGGTTTCTTAAGTTTGAATGAAGTGAAACGAGCATGGAAAGAAATTAAAGCATATAGAGTGGGTATTGAAACATTTATAGCATTTTGTTTTTATTCAGTGAATTTTTGATTTAAGTTGTTTTTCTTGTTCTTTTTTGTTTGAACAGAATCCCTTTAACTGTGCATGAATGTCTTAATATTATCCTAGTCTTCTGCCACTGATCTAAGAGAATCGGAACACAGTAATAAACCCTGTAGTGCTATATAACCAGTTATCTCTTCGTGGAATGCAATTTTTCATTATTTTGAAGCCCTACCCTGGCTCTTGCCAGGGGCCGCAATATAGACCGGCCATAAATATGGTCTAATGGCTGAATGCCGTTACCGGGACTTCTCCACGGGTGATCCTCATCCACATGGTGGCACTTTGTGTCATTGGGTGTTTATCGCTTGTGTGATGTCCTAGTGGAGTAAAATCTACTACTACTACTACCCATAGTGATGATGACAACTGAAAAATGTACTTACACTTGTACCAGCTTAACATATGTTATAAATATTTGTTTTATGGGTAGCTCTTTAAATTTTCAATGTTGCCAGGGCAGCTGCCTAGTTAGTCTGGTATTTTTGATATATCACGGCAAGGGATTTTAAATAAGTGCTGTACGCAGACATGCACTACTAATATACATAATGAATAATATATCCTTGTTCAAGAAGGAGAGATGTCCAATTGGGGTAGTGGAGGGGGGATGTGAATGTATTTCACCATTTTTTTCCAGAGAGGGTGTGTTTCAGACTCATTATGGCCAAACTTAACCCTTTCAGTCCCAAACATGGCACCATGTATACTGGATATTATGTCCACCAGTCAACATGTTTTGTATATTTGTAAATCTCAAGTTAAATCAGGGAAACTAAATGAATCCAGCATCAAGTCATCCACAGTGTGCTGTGTATTCGAACCTTGTGGATGCAGTATACCCATATTTTTGTTGTCATCATTTTTGCTTCAATCAGGCCTCAGCTGTGATTTTCTGGGATTAAAAAAATTAAGTGTGGAAGAAATGGTGCCTAATGATGATGATGCAATATTTATTATGATATCACTTAGAGATAATCAACATTTATAATTTTATAAATTAGATTAGACCATATCAACAAATGTTACAGTCAACATTATTTTTAGCAAAACTGAAAATGACTTTATGTTGTTTCATTGCAGGATGTTTTTAAACAGTTTGATGTTGATGGGTCCAATTCTGTGGATACTTATGAGCTTGGGACAATGTTTTCTAAATTAGGTAAGATTTATTCAATGTTTATCAATAGCTAGTTAGTTAATGGGTTGATTATTTTATCCTCAGTCCCTAAGTGCTTCGATCCCATCTTCACTATATCCTTCAGCTTGTGATGACTCATAACACCTGTTCTGTGTTGGTTTACAATTCTTCTTTGGCTACCTGTATAGTGTTCTTGTCTGTCAATGCGTGGTTTTGACCTGAAGTTCTTGTAAAGTCTTTTTTAATGTTACTGATTGACTGTCATCTCCTAAGTCACTTACTCGCCCTGCCTCCATGAGAGAATTTAGAACATTGGCCCGGTCCATTGCTCACCATGTACCTACTGTGGCGCTACCAGCAAGCCAATCTAGTTGTTTCAGAGTGCCCCAGAACAGAAAGAACTGATTCCTATTAGACAGGATTGCCTCAGAGAATCAAAACGTTGTCTTCAAACTGATCCTATCTCGATCTTCTTAAGCATACTCATGAAATCACTTAGAAAGCAGGCACAGTAAAAAAAGTATCTCTCTCTAGTTCATAGCTTTTGTTACTGCCATTACCTCTACATACAGACTACTTGCAGTGGAGGTAACAGCTCTGTTTCAGCTGTTTAGAAAGCAGTGGAAAATCACCGACCATAAAATTGCCTAGTCAAACCTCAAATAGTAAAGAGCATGTAGTTAACATTTTGGATAATAATGTTTCCCATCGTGTGTTCCGAGACTCAGTTTTGGAGAACAAAGAACAGACCCACTGCCCCCTCCCCCAACAAGCATGCCATAAGAGGCAACTCATTGGGGATGTTCCCTTCAGAATTGGAGTGCTCTGTCCAAGAGGCAAGGAACCAACAGTCTGTATACAAATAAAAGATCCGTGAATCAGATGTGCAAAACAAAACTCAAGTACTAGATGAAGATCAAAGTTCAGGAGTGGACAAACAACCAGAACTTTCTACCAAAGTTTACAGCTGGTGAACGCTAAGAAGACAAAAAAAAGTATAGAAGTAAAAAGAAACAGCCACACTTATTCTCCACAGATACATTTATATGCAGCTGCAAACTTAAAGTGGAGCCAAAGTGACCCATTTGCCACATTTACATGTTGACCAATGAACTAATCCCCATATATAACAATAATTTTAACATTTATAGGGCTCCCAGGTTGATAGCCTAAAATGTTTACAATGTTTGTTTCTGAGTTAATTTTTTAATTTGATAAACTCAAAAAAAAAAAAACAACAAACAACAAAAAAATTTAAATGATAAGAGACAGAATCAGACAACCACTGACCGGGAAGGCTAGCATAACCTGGTCAACAAATGCCCGCAGAAGTCGGATGTGTCGGCCGAAAGGTGCAAATATCGCAGCCATACTGTAGATGGACACAATGCAATTACATCTTCGAATGAATACAGAAGAAGAAAAAGACAACCATTGGTTTTAACAGTTTCAACAGAACAGAGTATCACCAAACAGAGTATCACAAAACAGAGTATCACCAAACAGAGTATCACTAAACGGAGTAACACCAAACAGGCACTGCACTGAGAATCAAATAGGAATGTTTAAGAGAAACCCTACAAAGAATGCTGATGAGAGAGGCCAATGATGTGGGACTAGATTCCATCCGTGATATGAAAAGGATTGCACAAGATATAGTGAAATAGAGGAATACACTGTGTGCTCTACGTGGCACATAATAGTACAAGATGATGATGACAACTTTTTCTGGCTGACCTAATACTGACGACATCACTCATAGAGTGATTGTCTATCAACATTTTAAGGTTGTAACTCTCTAGAAAATATGCCCCTAGCCCCTAGGCAGGTAATGGGTATTTAGCATTTTTTACTAATTTAAAAATGCTAGATTTGTGGGATATCTCTTATTCTAAAAATGTGTCAAATAACTTAATAATTGCCAGCGAAACATTTTATCTCAGATTCCTTTATCTATCAGGATTACCAATAAATAGAAATGTCTTAACATCCATTGTGAGGCGATACGGTGGCAGAGACAACCAGATCAGTCTTCCAGATTTTGTCATGGTCATCTGCAAATTAACATCCTTATTTTGTGAGTATATGATTTTGTTATTAGACAGTATAGACAGTTCAGCTGACTTTTAAACAACTGACATCACAGCACTTCCACAAGTGTAGGCTAGGTTCCCATCTTCAGCAGACAGTGAAGAGTTCCAACTCTGATGGTACCAGTAATCATCTGATAGACAGTATAGGGAAATGGGAGACCCTTGATACTTGTCAAAGTAGGGATTGAATCAATACAGGACTGAGATAGCTATAACTAACATCATGACAGATATAACTGACCACATGATAGACATAACTGACCACATGATAGATATAACTGACCACATGATAGACATAACTGACCACATGATAGATATAACTGACCACATGATAGACATAACTGACCACATGATAGATAAAACTGACCATATGATAGACATAACTGACCACATGATAGATATAACTGACCACATGATAGATATAACTGACCACATGATAGATATAACTGACTACATGATAGATACAACTGACCACATGATAGATATAACTGACCACATGATAGACATAACTGACCACATGATAGATATAACTGACCACATGATTGACATAACTGACCACATGATAGATATAACTGACCACATGATAGATATAACTGACTACATGATAGATATAACTGACTACATGACAGACATAACTAAACCCATAACAGTCATGGGCTTAACTTACCACATGACATATATAACTGACCACATGATAGACATAATTGACCACATGATAGACATAACTAACCACATGATAGATATCTGGTAGTCTGGTAGTCTTAGTTTCAGCTTCATAGCAAACGGGTCACCCCATCTTTGCTCCGCTCCTGTGCCAACGAAAAACACACAGAATGTTTATCACAGTATTAGAATTGCAGTTCATCATTGATGGTAGCTGAAGTCGCCAACAGATCAGCAGTTGCCCACGCGATCAATTTTAATCACATACGGGCACCACAACACTGCACGACAAGCATCGCGCCATTTTCTGAATCTACAATTCACACCAACACGTTGGTCACAGTCGAAAATACATTCCAAATGCAATCCGCAGCTCACAGGGTCACGCCATGCATTCAACTCAGAAGCTGGGTGACGAAACTTTATCCAATCTACAAATGGAGCAAAAATGCATCCGCCACCGTCTGGCAGAAGCAAAAAAATGTGCCTTTGTTTAGAAAAGTGCGGCTGCCTAACGTCCATTTTGACTGACCACATGATAGATATAACTGACCACATGATAGATGTAACTGACCACATGACAGATATAAATGACTACATGATAGATTTAACTGACTACATGATAGATTTAACTAAACCCATAACAGTCGTGGGCTTAACTAACCACATGACATATATAACTGACCACATGATAGACATAACTGACCACATGATAGATATAACTGACCACATGATAGATATAACTGACCACATGATAGATATTACTGACCACATGATAGACATAACTGACCACATGATAGACATAACTGACCACATGATAGATATAACTGACCACATGACATATATAACTGACCACATGATAGATATAACTGACTACGTGACAGACATAAATAACAGTCATGGGCTTAACAAACCACATGACATATATAAATGACCACATGACATATATAACTGACCACATGACATATATATCTAACCACATGACATATATAACTAACCACATAACATATATAACTAACCACATGACATATATAACTAACCACATGACATATATAACTAACCACATGACATATATAACTAACCACATGACATATATAACTAACCACATGACATATATAACTGACCACATGACATATATAACTGACCACATGACATATATAACTGACCACATGACATATATAACTGACCACATGACATATATAACTGACCACATGACATATATAACTGACCACATGACATATATAACTGACCACATGACATATATAACTGACCACTTGACATATATAACTGACCACATGACATATATAACTGACCACATGACACATATAACTGACCACATGACATATATAACTGACCACATGACATATATAACTGACCACATGACATATATAACTGACCACATGACATATATAACTGACCACATGACATATATAACTGACCACATGACATATATAACTGACCACATGACATATATAACTGACCACATGACATATATAACTGACCACATAACATATATCACTGACCACATGACATATATAACTAACCACATGACATATATAACTAACCACATGACATATATCACTGACCACATGACATATATAACTAACCACATGACATATATAACTGACCACATGACATATATAACTGACCACATGACATATATAACTGACCACATGACATATATCACTGACCACATGATAGATAAAACTGACTACATGACAGACATAATTGAACCCATGAAAGTCATCGACTAGGTCTTGGATTAGTGTTCCTGGGAGATAACTGACCTCTTGATAGGCATAGACTGGACTTTGGTTAGCATTTCTGTCTTTTGTTTCCATCCAGCATCTTTCCATGAGCAGCAGAAAAGAAGGGGAGGTGTGGATACTGCTGAGTTCTCCAGAAATGAGGTAAGAAAATGTGATCACACCAAGGAGTTTAGAATGCAGCTGGATAGAATTCATTACCGTCTTTGTTTTTCTTGGGTCCCCCCCCCCCCCAATCTCCTTTTTCAATCGGCTAAAAGCAGAGGTATCATTGTTATCATCATCCTCATCGTCGTCATTGTCATCCTACTCCTTATCCTGCTCCTGCTTATCATCTTTATTTTTAAATTACCATTAGACTGTTGGGACATTCTCTGAATATCAAATCTAACTCAGTTTCAAGTGTGTTTCCTTTTCCCTTAGTTTATCACTTTGTTAAGTGTATTATTTATTAAAAGTGTCATTTGATTATTGTTTAAGTGTATTCGTTTGTTAAATCCTGAATTTTCTGGCAAGTAAAGGCCAGAAGAAGGCAAGTGGCCATCCCACTTTATTCATCCAGGCCTAGAATATTCAAAAGTTGAACACTTCCCAACTGAAGTTTCTGCTGAGAGACTCTTGAACTTTATCAACTGGTTAAACTTCCTGTGTCCTTGACCTGTGCTTTGTGTGCCAGTTTTGTTATTGTATGTGGGACTTACCAGACATCAAGGATATCTACAAATGTATACTTGTGTAAACTTAGTAAGTATTCAGTTCCTCTCACTTCATGTATTCTGCATCTGTGATTTAGATGTTGCAAATGTACTTTGTAAATTCCAAAACATCAGATTTTATTCTGATTTAGGTCATTTTTGCCAGCACACAGCTTTTTAGAGATGATTATGATAATGGTATGGGAAGCAACTAGTTCAGTAAGCTATGGCAAACTACTAAACATAAAATTGCCTAGTAAAATCACAAACAGCAAATAAATGCTGAGGTTGCTTCCGCAACTCCCTGTACAGGATACACCATTAACTGTTTTTTTTTTGTGGGGGGGGGGGGGGGGGAGGGGACTCTACATAAATCAGAGAGCTTCAATAATGCTGTGGCCAGCAAGCTTGACTGTCAGTCAGTGTGGGGTTTGTGTTCAGATCCTCAAAAAAGTATGCCTGGGCTTTACAGGTCACCCCAGCCTAAAGTGACTATCCCACAAAAAGGGAGCTAGCACCATTTACCAACTGCATTTCAAGGTGTGGAATTGGGTCCTTTAGTTTAGTTGCCGTTCCTGACCTGATCTTCTTCTGTTGTTCTTAATAAGTAAAGGTCCCTTTATACGCCAGTGGCACATTGGACATATGAGGTTAGACTCATATTTTTATTGACCATGCCGTTTAAGGCTTTGTCCCCCTGGCGCCAGTTTGATCCTACTATGATGTAAAGCATTGTAGAGAGAAGTTAGATATAATTTCCTGTCTTCTGCAAGCTGTGTAGCTTCTGTTAATGTCATCCTATATTTCTTTAGTGTCTCTTTTACTCCATCCACCCATTTATTTCTTGGTATGTCTCTTGTCTCTGCTATTCTCATGTAGTGTTCTCTAGCCACTGGCTGATTTTGTTCAATTCTGACCAGATGACTAAACATTTGATTCTTTGTTATTCTAAGACATCATTTCCCAGTGCTGTGTCTGCCATTCTCCTTAGATCTGCAATGGGGTTATGTCTCTTCTTGTTCTTCATACCTCATTTCTTATACATCTCATCTTCTGACCTGTACTTGTTTATATCTTTATCTTATTGTCCATCCATTCCTAAGAAGAATACTTGGCATTAAGTGGCAAGACAAAATACAAAACACTGAGGTATTGGAAAGAGCAAATACTATGAAAGTTTTCTGAATGCCCAGTCTCCAAAGGCTCAGGTGGCTGGGTCGCAAGTGGATACTGGCAGTCCCTAAGAACATCCTCTAAGCTGAATTACAGATGGGATATTGAGGTTGACCTCGTACTATGATATAAAGGTGTGTGCAAGCTATGCTTGGATGATACAGGTATTGAGGTAGCTTCATGAAAACAGAATACCAGGGACCATGTTGCATGAAGGGGGTAAATCAGAAAGAAAATGAGAATGAAATGAAGTGACTGCAGAAAGGATGAGAGCTGAGCATCTGAGAAGCAACAGACTAAACACAAATGTTGACAACACAGGTCCTGAAACCTCATGCTATAAACGTGGAAGACTTTTCTTAACACAGGCGGGTCTTGCAAGTCACACTCTCCATGGCCATGGGCTGTGAGTTCCATGCCCCCTGGTGTAGCACACTATCATCTGGAAAGATGGAGAGGTGCCAGCAACAATATCCCGTCTTTACTCGCTGATAATTAAACTTCCAGTATCACATTCTGGGGTTTAAATCTGCATCGAGGTGGATTTTTAAAATTTAAAATAGACCTTGGCTCCTAAATTGATCCAGTCTAAAATAGCCCTTGGCTCCTAGATTGGTCCAGTCTAAAATAGACCTTGACTCCTAGATTGATCCAGTCTAAAATAGACCTTGGCTCCTAGATTGATCCAGTCTAAAATAGACCTTGGCTCCTAGATTGATCAAGTCTAAAATAGACCTTGGCTCCTAGATTGATCCAGTCTAAAATAGACCTTGGCTCCTAGATAGATCCAGTCTAAAATGGACCTTGGCTCCTAGATTGATCCAGTCTAAAATGGACCTTGGCTCCTAGATTGATCCAGTCTAAAATGGACCTTGGCTCCTAGATTGATCCAGTCTAAAATAGACCTTGGCTCCTAGATTGATCCAGCCTAAAATAGACCTTGGCTCCTAGATTGATCCAGTCTAAAATGGACCTTGGCTCCTAGATTGATCCAGTCTAAAATAGACCTTGGCTCCTAGATTGATCCAGTCTAAAATAGACCTTGGCTCCTAGATTGATCCAGTCTTGAATGGACCTTGGCCCCTAGATTGATCCAGTCTAAAATAGACCTTGGCTCCTAGATTGATTCAGTCTAAAATGGACACTGGGTAAAGTCCTGGAAAGTAAAGGCAGCTGACTCGATGTTGAGCACCTCATCCACCAAGTGCTGATTGGTCTTTAAAATATAGTTCTAGCACCATGTGCCCAATTCTCTTTAAAGCAGGACTTTTTTTTCTTTGTTCTTCTTATTATTTGTTTCTTTTTTCATCCACAGTTTCTGGAAGTAGCGATGTTCACCTGAATATACCCTCATTTTAACTTCACACACATCCTATGATTCCATCGATACCAACTGGCTTTCTTTACGGAACCACAGCTTTTGATGCAGTTTATTTTTATACAATTTATCTGGCTAGATGTGTTCAGAGTTTTCATGTTTCCCTGACTCAGGTGACACATTTTTACCCTTCCTTAGTATTCTGTGCTTTGTTTTCATGTTATATTTAATATATGCTCAATAATTCTGTTCTGTTGGGAACACTGAAAATTAAGCAGCATGGTTTTTTTTATACAGATTTTTTCTTAGTTGCTTTTTTAATTATTAAGTTCTAAATTTAGCAACTGTAGTTTATGCTGCATGAGTAAAGGTGTCCATTTATTTGTTTATGTTGTGGGAATATTTGTCCATTTAATTGTTTGTGTTGTCTAAAAAAAATTGTCCATTTATTTGTTTATGTTGTGTGAATACAAGTTTCCATTTAGTTGCTTGTGTTTTGGGAATAAAAGAGACTATTTATTTGCTTATGTTGTGGGAATAAAAGTGTCCATTTGTTTGTGTTATATAAATAAAAGTGACACTTCCTATGGTTGCTTCATCAAAGTGTGGGAGATGTAAAGATCTTCTGTGTGCTCCTTCCAAGGCATTGTTTAGGTGGGTCTTCCTTTAAGCAGTTTTTGATGCCATCATTCCATTTAGCAGTCTTCCCCATGCTCTGTGTCTATTATATTTCTTCAGTGTGGCAGCTGGTACCTTGGTATTCTTGTCAGATGGCCAAATCATCTCCTCTGTTGCTTTTTAATGAACTGTATGTCTGGTTTTAGGCTCAGTCTTCTAATTTCTCCATTTTTAGTTGTATCCCTTCTTGTCACCTCATCTGTTCTAAGAAGACATCTCATCTCTGTTGTTTATGATTTTTCACTCATTTGTTTTTGTACTGATCCAAGTTTTACCCTGATAGCAAAGTTAACCAAATTTTTTTTAAAAATTAGATTTGTTTTGGTTTACAAAGTTATGCTTTTATGTTTCAAAACTAGTGTTAGTTTTCTTTGAATAAAAGTGTATATTTAGGCTATTTGAGTATGTCATGTGACTAAAAGTGTCCATTTGTTTGTTTATATTGTGTTAATAAAGGTACTCTCTTTATTTTATTTTATGCTTCATGAAAAAAAGTAACCATTTATTTGCTTACTTTGTAAACAATGTCAGTTTATTCCTTTTCATTTTGAAGCAGGTGAAATGATAATTGTTTCTTGTTGTTGCAAATAATAATTGTTAAACTCATAGAAAAAAAAATTAATATTTAGTCAATGATGATAGCATTGGTGAGTGAAGATATTTGCTGTTTAGTCAATGATGATAGCATTGGTGAGTGAAGATATTTGCTGTTTAGTCAAGGATGATAGCATTGGTGAGTGAAGATATTTGCTGTTTAGTCAATGATGATAGCATTGGTGAGTGAAGATATTTGCTGTTTAGTCAATGATGATAGCATTGGTGAGTGAAGATATTTGCCCAAATGTGATGCACAGTAGGCTTTAGAACATGCAGAAAGTGTGATGAAACCATCTGAATCCCCTGGCCAAATGCTCCCTGCAACTGTTAGTAAGAAAGTACAATTATTGCACTCTCTTCTACTCCTTGAGTTGTATCTGGTGAATGCAGCTAGCCCTACATTCTGACATGACTGGCCAGGAAGCCGGGGTCCAAAAATAAAATCACCTCTTGGACTTAAATTTGAGCACATGACCCCGGTGTGCTTATCACTGAACCATCACAGCCCTTAGAACTGTCAGCGGGTGACATCACATGTAAACTTCCTGTTAAGATGTTTTCATTTGCCATTATTTCCTCAGAGTAAAGGCACTTACACAAAGATAAATTTTCTGACTTGATCTGATTAAATTATACATTTATGAATAATGTAATAGCAGGAAATGTAAAAAGAAAGAACATTTTTAATTTAGTTGAATGTGTTTATTATAAAATGCTGATTTTCAGTTTTTATACAGCTAGAATCTCTCAGCAGTATGACACTGAATAAAATGTCCACCCAATGTATCTCAGTATATATTGCTATTTATAAAGTATTTAAAGGGTATAATGAGGGTTTTGTTGTCAGAACATGTAAATTATTAAGTTTATTTAAATTTTGTTTTTCATTTGTCTAGTTCTCTTTCTGATGATAATAAAAATAATTATACACATTAAAAAATAATAGTAATGACAAAAATTACTTAACCTACTTTAGTAATGTATTAAAATAATAGATTTGTTTGCATTCCCTCACCTAAAGTAGTCCATACTATTACTGTTTGTGTGTGTGTGTGCATGAGTGGTAGTGTATGCATGCATACATAAAAGTAAATAACACACAGCTGTTAGAAAAGGAAAGTAAAAAAAATTAAACCTTGAGGTAGATCCACACTTTTAAATTAGAGAAGGAAAGTTGAATGAACAAAACAAATTTTTGTCATCTAAATGTTAATATGATGCTGAGTTGTTTTATTGTAAACATATTGCATCTTTTGTTTAATGAAGTGCCATAATTTGTTTTCAGTTTTTATATCAGCATTCATCACTGATATTCTACTTACATCGTTCAACATCGGTTCAGTCTTGTTCATTCTTTAAATATTGATGACAGCTTGTACACTATATATTGATTTATATAAATGAAGGTGCCATCAACATGAATAATTTCCCAGTGATTAGTATTAGTTTTGCTCTCTGATATAAATATACATTTTTTTAGGTACCTATTTAAGTCAAGGATACATTCCATTTAAATTTACCTGTTTTTGAAAAACCTTATTCATGATAGAAAATATGTTACATAATTACATATTTTACTTTTTATGTTTGAATAAAGTTTTTTTAACAATTGAACTTACGATGTCTTGTATTGTTAAACTGTACTATTGCACATGTTGCGCATATCAACATGTAATGATTTGTTTTTTAAATTGTACTATTGCACATGTTGCGCATATCAACATGTAATGATTTGTTATTTAAATTGTATTATCCTATTCCTTTAAAAATCACACTATCTTGCCTTGTTATGGTTATGAAAGGATGCTGTATGCAAGTTTTAAAGACATTACTGTTTCATTTGTCCAATCATATTTCTCAATACTTTGTTCTGACATGAAATTATTGCCAGATTGAAACCACATTAGTTATTAAACGTTTTTTTTTTTCTTTTGGCAGAATCTGATGTTAGAAACATAACAACACATGTTTATTTTTTTTTTTTAACCTTACGATGTTTCAGATGTTCAGTTTCAGATGTTCAGTTTCAGATTTTCAGTTTCAGATGTAATGTTGAGTTGTTTATAACCCTAGTATTAGCACACAAAAATCACAGTGGCTTAGAAAGAGCCAGCATTGGGAAGCATGGTTCCTGGGAGAAGAGGCAGGGTTTCACCAGCACAAAACTGGACATGATATGTTAAAGACACCTTGGAGTGAGTACAAAAACTGATACTTGCAAAGCAGTACAGTACCACAAGATTTGGAGAAACCCCCTACATACCACTTACTGACATTAAAGTTTCCGGTGAATTAAGATGGTCACAGTTTTTTATTTCTGGTTTTAAATTCAAAGACATACTCTGAACAAACCTCAGGTACACTAAAAGCGTTTGCTGGAAAGAATGTCAAACATAATAAAGCACAAAACAATCTCTAAGTTGAAAATATCAGTGGCATGGGCATAAATACAAATACATAAATATAAATACATAAATATAAATACATAAATATAAATACATAAATACAAATACATAAATACAAATACATAAATACAAATACATAAATACAAATACATAAATACAAATACATAAATACAAATACATAAATACAAATACATAAATATAAATACATAAATATAAATACATAAATACAAATACATAAATATAAATACATAAGTACAAATACATAAATATAAATACATAAATACAAATACATAAATATAAATACATAAATACAAATACATAAATACAAATACATAAATATAAATACAACAAGGAAGATTAACTAGTAAACAGCATCTGTCTAGGAAAATGAAATGTGTTGGACATATCACGTGCCACCGCAGATTAGAAATAATAGTAACAGAAGGCATGGTAACAGGAAAGAGGGCCTTGGATTGATCAGCAGGAAGATGCTCGCAGGATACAAGTGTCACCTTGGGGAGGAAAGCACATGAGGCAGGAGAGCTGGTGAGAGACCCAGTTTCTTTCAGGCAGACTGTGATGAGCAAGAAATTCTGCAAAGTACCTGACAAGAGAATGTTTCAAACATTTGTTAGCTGCTGACTTTTGTTAGCAATGTTCTATTTTCAACTTGCAGTTTAGTTCAAGATCAGAATCACGTGTGACCGGTTTACAATTTGGTTTCAACATGCAGAAGAGATGGACAGTATTTTTTTAATTTTTTTATTTTTATTTATGGCAGCTAATTGAATATTTGTTTTTCTAAACAGGTGATCTGCTCGAAAATGATGTTGCACCATTTTCTTGAATTTCTAAAAAAAGTATTATTTTTATTAGGTCAGCTTGTCTGTGTGCTCTATGTCATGATTTTATGTTCACATGAATGTCTGTATTGTTGTAGCTGTTCAATCTTCATCGCTGATTATGACAAAATATGATACCCTTTTACTGTTTTTATTGACATTCTATACTAATCTTTATTTAAATGATAATAACTAAATAACAATTTTATTGACACAATCTATACCAATTGTCAGTCACAGTTATGGACAAAACATTATACCCTTCTTACTGTCTTCTATCATGATTAATACACAATATAATACTTTTTTTTTTATTGACACATCTAATACTAATTTTCAATCATAAGTATTGTAAAACAAAAAACATTCTATAAACAGATTTATTTGTCAACTTCAAAAGTAATTGTGACCAAACTTGAAACATTCTGCTGACAATGAGAAGAAATCTGGCCCATAGGAGCAACTCTTTAAAGTAACAAATCTTGAGGTAATGGTGGTCTGG